CTCAAATGGTTGTCTCAAAATATCTATTCACTAATTTTACGAGCCTATGGCAACTAGCTCGACGGTCTTAAGTTATACTATCTCCTATTCTTTTTAAATGTTATTTTGGCATTATCAACTGTTAACAAGATAAATGCCGTTTCGGATATTTTGTACGTATTTTTACATTATTATCCTCATTTAGCTAATAATCACATTACGTCTTTTCATATTCACTCTTCATCTTTTCTCAAAACATTAATCTCTATCCTCATTAATGAGGGTTATTATTGGCAAAAAAAATATTCTTACTAGATGTGTAACTTCTCAAAACGACACTTATTATGAATATGAGGGAGTATCGTATTTGTTTTGGGAGAAATTCTTGTTAGAAATGCCAAACATTGGAAAATCATATTTTTCTTTTTAAGTAGATATGCATATTTATAAATTAAAGTGTTATGTATTATAATAAAATAAAAAATATAATATTGAATTCTGTTGAAAAGTATGTCGGATCGACTTACTTAGTGGTTACCGTCTTAAGAGCATCCACAATGTTTTGGGTCTCTTTTTGCATATGTGGCAAATAAATAGACTTAAGTTCATAATGACATGGACAAACCTAAACTAAAAAAACCAAAATCTATCCAATGCAAAACCAAAAAGTACTAGGTCTAGAATACATGACAACCAATAAAAATGCTCTAGTATATTTCATTTATTAAAAGAAAAATTAAATGAGGAATAAATGATGAGTGCTTGGGTTTGTACTTGGGTCTAAAATAGACCCAAGTGTGGACTAGGTCTCATTTTTTTATTGCCACATAAGCTAGACTAGTTCCACTTTTAATTGCATTGGAGAACACTTTTTTATAGACTAGGTCTATTCCTTACATGGCATGTAACTTTTTTCTAAGAAACTCAAAGCATTGTGGGTGCTCTAAGCAAAAATTTGTGTTCTTTTGGGCGGGGTTGCTATTAAAAATATATAACCGTACACCAATCATAATTTTCTTAATATAGGTATATATTTTTATTCTCAAATATTTATATTTTTTTTTAAAAAAAATTAGTATAAGTAAAAGTATGGTGAAAGACTATATTCCCGTTACGGTAACCTTAAATTATCTATCTACACTAATCTATGGTGAAAATATTTGACGGAATGATTTTGTGACGGGACTGTAGTCATTCCCAAAAATATGATATTCCATATTGAATGTATGGAATTTTATTCAAAAATCAACTAATGCGACGGTTGACCGTGTGTATTATTATTATTATTATTATTATTATTATTATTATTATTATTATTATTGTATATATTTCACTGCATTTCACTAAATTATCGATATCTATATTTTATATTTATATAATGGATCAATTCATATTGCTAAGTTGCATGATTTTGAGTGGGAACTTTTTTTCATCTATATTTGGCATTTACTTAATCTTTATTTATTAGTAAATCTTATATATAAAAACATAAATACTTTTTATATACTCAATGACTGATATTGATTAGTTGAGAAATGTTCACCTACCCACGGTGGACACATGTTAATATGCCCACCGCGTAGGTGGCATGCACTCATGGTGATGTATTTTTTTTAAACATATTAACATCACCAATGAGTGGATGTCACCTACGCGGTGAGCATATTAACATGTGCCCACCGTAGGTAGAGGAACATTTCTATTGATTAGCTATACATTGACAAAGATAGAAATATTTTGACTGTAGATCGATTAGATGTATTTTCAATAATATCTTAAATATTAATTTCATAGTAATTTATTGACAAAATTAAAAATAAAATATATATAAAATTGATTTATATATATATATATATTTCATATATGGTTGCAGATATTAACTTAGTTAGTTATATTTACCGATATAAGTAGTTAAAATGTATAATAAGCTAATCAGAATAATTATGTTTGAATTATATTAACAATGAACAATTTAAAATATTAATAAGTTTTTTTTTTCTAAATGTGGTCAACTTAACCTTAAAAAGGTAAACCTCTATTGTCTATCTAATTTGAAATGATAATACTACTGAAAATTAAAATAATATATTAATAAACAAATTAATATTTGATGGTCGGGTTCAAATTTGAATTATAAGTTTCACCTTAGAAATATTTATATACATTAAAAATTATTTGATATTCTTTTAATAAAATATTTTTTATTATTTGGAAATTGTAATTTGAGCGGCTGTCATTTGGGCGGTTGCTTCATCTAAGACGACATTTATTTATTAATTAATTTATTTATTTGGTACAATGAAGGAGGCCTAAGGACTAGTCGGGTGGTTGGGCTATAATTTGACGGGTGTTGTAGTTATTTGTACCGGAGTTAAATAAAAAAATTAAATCCCCGAGTCGTATCACAAGGAAGGTTAGCCGGATTAAATTGTGCGAATTTTCAAACACAAAGGAGAAAACATATCCTAAACATTTTAATTCAATTGATTTTGGTTTCAACTAGCAACTAATGATTCTCAAACAAGGCAAGACAAATTTCCTATTCTAAACAAGATTCAAATAATTACAAAGGATCTAGAGAATCGGGGATAATCGATTTTGGTCCCAAATTCAACTACCGGGCAATTAATAGTTTGATTAAGATACTCGAAAACTAACTCGTCTAGAGGTTTATTCTCAATAACTCTTCGTAAGAAAAGAATAAGCGTGAACGATCAATTATCAAATCAAATAACATATAAGCAATATAATTACCAACAAACATATTCAAAACGAGCCTAGATCGATCGACTTCTCCCCTTTCGGTTCTAAAAGTCAATTAACTAGATTAGAAGGTGACCAATCATCTAACCCTTAGATTAACTCAACTCGAAATAATTGAACAATTAACGAACACTTAACTGAAAATGAACCGAAACAACTAACCACTATCCCTAGCAAACGAATCTAGCCACTCACCACAAATTCAGCACCAAAATTCAAATTAAACCAAGCCATCATAATCATAAACAAACAAGAAGAAAAGCTTACGATTAATGCAAAACCCAAAATATTGAATCTCGAGTGCAACCAAATCCGAAAGATTATTGGAGTTTTCACTCTCCAAGACTGAATCTAAGTAAAGCTAGAGAGAAAATGACGTTTTTTAGAGAAAACGAATTTAAAAACACAATGTTTAGGAATGCCCTTATCAACCCTAAGCTCGATTCCTTTAACCCCCCATTTGAAAATCCCGTGAAAAACGCATCTGTTACAAGTCAGACCTTAGTGGCGTTGGAGGGGCTAGCAAAACTAGGGTATAAAAACAAGCAGCCTCTGGGGTCATTGGGCCTATGCAGCGCCGCTAGGGTCTGTAAAGCTTTAATATTTTGATGTTTAGGCGCGACTAATGACTTTCGGTTGGCTCGTATGATCTCGGCTAGCATCTCTCGGGTTCTGCC